TATACCACTCAATATCTGAAGCTCTCTTAATGACGTGATATATCTGCAAGACATAAACTACTCTGTCATTTCTGATGGAGGGTGGACCGCAGGAGAAGTGTCACTTCTCTGCCTTTCAAAGTACATTTTCTTTACCTCTTCTTATATATCTGGATCAGAGGGCAAAGTGAGCATCTGCCCAGGGCCCACTGTCTGTAGGAGCCCACATGGAGAGGGGAATGGAGTGGCCAGAGGAGCAGCTGGCCAGGAGCTGTTGGGGCTGTGAGGGAGAGGCCGGCCCAGGACGGTGGTGCAGTGCAAGCAGGTGGTGCTCCTGGCCGGTGAACCTTGGGGGCTGGACAGCAAGCAGATGGTGCTCGGTCCCTTTGTGCGCCACAGCCCTGCCACCATCGTTGTGCCTGAGGAAGAGCTGCAAGACCCTCCAATGGGTGTGCCGCCCTCCTTAGCCTCCTCTTTGCTCTCCTGGAGGCCAGGCTGTGAGTGCCACGGGTGCCGTCAGGGTGGCCGATCTTCTTCCTGTGCTGGGCAGGTGTTGCTGCACAAGTGGGAGGAGCTATTAAGAGAGGTATTGCTGGGCTGTGCCACCCAATGAGGAGAAGGTCACCCTTCTGGACCTCGAGGACCTGCATTGCGACCCTGGAGGTGCACATGACAATCTTTGCCCTGGATGCCCTGACAGTCTCCTGGAACTCAAGTGCCTCAGCAAGACTGGCCTCTCGCAACAGACATCAGGTGAAAAAGGGAGGAAGCAAGGCTGGCTGGGATGCATGGGTGCTCTGCTTAGGCTCAGAGGCACTCTTCCCACCAGTGCCCTCAGTTGGATGGCAGTGGCTGTTCCTTCAAAGCGCCTGTAACGGCCTCCTTCCACCCCACAAAGGAAGGTCGCTACGTCACCACACTTCTACACTTCCGGTAGTCTGCCACCAACCATTCCCTGAATTGAGTCACACAGACTGGAATGGATTTAAAAATAAAAGAACTAAATGTTTATTGATTGGTACACATGGATTGGTAAAACACAAATATCATGTAATCAGGTAACGAAAGGCTCAAGCTTATACAGGCTCTCCAGACGTGTTCACACAGAACCCAACTCCTGCTCTCTATATATACAACACAGCTCCTCCCCCTGATGTCCCGCCCCCCGACCACCATTGGATGACATCTTTCCCTCCAAACCCTTGAAGGACAGGTGACATCAGAGCTGACTGTAACAGCGCCCATGGCCCTCTGCCTCTTCTCAAACCTGAGCCTGCACCTGATCCCACATAACAGGCAGCCTCCCTCCCTCCCTTCCACATGGGACCTGCTCTGGATTGCAATCTCGGCATGTTCTGCATAGTATGAGCACAATTTTTCCTCCTTTTGGGCATGTGCAGAGTGCCTCAAAGTTCAGCTTTAGGCTTCCCTTGCCTCACCCCTCCCTCATAAACTAGACTTTCTTTTCATTGTTATGATGTTTGTTTACCTAAGCACCGTTCACTTATTTACTTCTACCATGATTACCTTAGTGAGACAGTCTTATTTATGTTATATTACATTCATGTTGGGTGACCTATTTAGGTGGTAGGTAAGGGAGAGGGAGGGAGGAGGAAAGCCTTCCCACTATTACTATTTTTTCCCCAGGGCCCACCAGAACTTTGAATTGGCCCTAATTTGGATACCACACAAGTTGAATAACAGGAATAAAGGCATAAAATAAGACGTAGGAGAAGTCTTCTTCCTTCTTCTTCCTTCCTTCTTTCTTTCCTTTCACATTATAGTCCTGGCATTTTCTGCTGCTCCTTCAAAATTCATAGATGCTCTGACATTTTTTTCCTTCATTTTAATCTTGGAGGGGTGAGATGATAGCCAAAGAGCTGGTGCACATTTGATGGGGATCCTTTGAGCCTTTCACTATTAGCTCCTACCTCTCTCTGTATGTCATTGGGTGCATTGTCTGCTGGGTAATTGATTTTTTTCCCCCATAGGGGTTGGTTTCAGGCATCCAGTGATGATTCTCTAGCTTTTTCTGAGTGCTACATCTGTGTGATTTGCATGAGCTGAACTATACCACACTGTGCTGGCAAATTTGCCTGTGGAGGAGCACAGAGCCAAGGCTGCAGTTCTTAGGGTTTGTGTTTGTGTGCCGGAAGTGATTGTAGAGTGCTGGATCATAAGACAGCCAGGACCAAAGATCTGAAAGAATTGGTAGACTATGACGTTTGCCTATTTGCTATCTTCTCTTTTCTTTGTACCTATTGTTTGACTCAAATTCCAAGAACTGAGAATTATGTTTCATATTCTATAATGCCTGCAGCTCTAGCTGATCAAAAAGTTGTGTGCAGCCCTTTAACATTTTATTCAGACCTGGAGACAATCATGTATGGAGCACAATTCCTATTTTTGTAACTTAAAGTACGATTACTATAATACATTTAAGTCAGGCTTCCCTTCCATATAATTTGGATGGTGATAGTCCTCAACATGCTGTCATATGATTACCATTCAAGCATGATAGCTGTGGGCTTCAGTAGAAGTTTCCCCCCTCCCTTTGTTTTATCTCCAAAATGTATGATCATCAGCTGCAAAAGCAAAACAAAACAAAAACATGCAATCCCATGTGGTGTGGTGCTAAACATCTCACTCTTATACACAAACACAAAAGCAAAATCATAATTGAAGATGAACATGAGCAGTGAAATTAGAAATAATCTGCCCATTCTGTCTTCTCCTATGAATAAAGAGTGAACATATGTATCCAGAAAATATTTGTGCATGACAGTCCTAAATGTATTTATTTACTTGAAAGGAAGTCCTGCACTTTTCCTGCCTTCAAGGAAAGTATTGTGAGCATTGTAGCTTTCAGAATAAAAACAAGAGTTTGAGTAATCTAACAGCTGGATGTGTCCGCAGCACCTGCAGTTCAGCTGCCTGCCTTCCACGTACGTATGATTAATTTATCTAACTATGATTACAGCTTCTAAAATTGCACCCCTCACTTTGTTTAATCAACCTTCTACTGGCAGTTTCCATCTTTTCTAATTAAGTTACTAAGGATGCTGACCAGTGATTCCAAAGCAATGTTTAATGCTGATTGTAATATTCTTTATCAAAATAATATGCTAATCTACAGAAATATAAGCACACACCAGCTTGCTTCATTTAATCACGTAATCAAATTTTGGACATGAAAGATAATCTGTAGGGGGATTCTGGTCACTTACTTGACAATTGCTAGACTATCAAATAAGGATTTCCTCATATAAAAACACTTTTGCCATGGGAAGACAGCTAGAGAGCAACAGAAACCACAGAAACCAGCAGCACAAGAACCACAGTTGCTCCAAGTAAAGGATGCCCCTTTATCCTGCGCTTTTAAATATGTTACATAATGCTCAAATTCTAAAGTAGAACCCACAAGTAATTCCTAAGCAGAAGCAGAAGGAGATGCAACTTCTCACTTGTTGTCTCCTGCCCACAAATAATCCCTCTCTCCCTCTCTCTTTCTCCATATGAAAGCAGTGATTCACTTCCATAGTATTCCTCAGTTACTTTACTCATTCTTCTTTCCAGCAGAAAAATGTTACGTATACATCTCCCTTGCACACTCAATACTTCTAGGTAATCTTAGCCATTTTACCTGAGTTAGAGCTGTAGAACAATTTTCTGTTTGATCCCAAATAGTTACTGTCGCGACTGCCACCTCCTCCTACGTCACCACATGAGATGACAGGCCACGATTCTTCTCACACACACACACACAGTACTTCGCTGCCACCAACCACGCATAAACCTGACACTTCAGACTTATTGTGGATTTTAAAATAAAAACGATGTTTTATTGATACAAAAATAAAATGGAAATCACTGGGTAAAAGAATCACTTATTAAACTATATTTCTCAGACCTTCACCCTGCACAGTTCTTAGTTACTTTACACACACAGTTTCTAAATCACCTAACCTATATCTAACCCTGTCACTCTCTCACTCTCTAATTCCCCAACCACAACAACCTCAACAACCTCCTCTCTCCTTTATATACACAAGCTCCACCCCTATAAGACCCACCTCCTGCCTTGCCATAGGCCAGGAAACTCCAGCCTTAGCCAAGACAGGCAGGTGACGTCATGGCACACGTCACAGTTACTTGTGATTTCTTTTTTCTATTAACAAAGCCATAATTACATCACATTACATCTGTAACTTAATGGGGGATACTTCCACTATTTTCATAATGTTCTTGATTGTTTTATTTTTAAAGTCAGGGTGGTAAAACCTCTGATGGAGGAGGAATATCATACAGTTTAATAGCAACTTCATGCTGTGTCTTCTGCTGCTACTTTCTATACTTTATTTCTTACTCCATATACAGCAAAAGTGTTGCAACACCTTGAGTATCACTCTGTTTTCAAGGGAAGTTAGTGAAATGGTTCTGTACTTACTATATTCCCTGATGTCTCCTTTCTTGAGGACTAGAACATATATTTAATATTGAATAAGTCTGTGGGCAGCTACTTATAGTCCATCATTGGCCAGATTGTATATACAACCAATAAAGAAAGAACTACCCATACTCTAAATCGTTTAATTCTGCTAAACTCATAGCTGAGTCTGATTGGCTATACAGCAGCCACATCTTCACTGCAAGATCGAAGCAAGAAAGAGAGGCTTAAATACTTATTTCAGACCAGATCTCATCCATCCCATTCCCAGAATTAACTGTAATTTTACTTAAGGGTGGGTATAGTTCAGTGGATTGGAGCACCTAGCTATGGAGCCAAGAGTTGGGTGTTTGAGAGCTATGTTAGCCAAGAACACTTGGAGTGTGTCTGGCTGATGGGGTTAGATGCCTGGCCATAGTCTCGTAGTTACCACCAGATAGTGGTTTTCATACCTGGACATTCCTACAAGGATCACTGTAAGTTGGAAACAACTTGATGGCACATAGTTAGAATGAATTTTACTCATAAATATATAATCTCCCAGACTACAATATATTTAATGTTTACATCTTACCTTCATGTTAAATGTGGCATGGTTGCAGGAATGCATATGACCACAAAAGGTCTGCGCACACAGTCCCTACAAAACAAGAACAAAGAAACAGATACAGATGAGAACAAAGAAACCCATCATAATCAGAAAAGCAAACAGCTTTTTAAACCTGTGGAGTGTGACTTTCTTACTGCATCGAGGAGAACAATTGATTCCCATTCCCCTGATAAAGTGGTATTCTTGTCTAATATGACTGGGATGAGCATGAATATTTATTCATTTTCTGTATTTTTAGCCTGTTTTTAGACAGCTATTGCTTCCTAAAGCATCTGGAAGGGGGGCTGTCATCAGGCTTGCAAACTAAAAAAAATGACATAATACTGGAGAAGTAAAAAGGCATGGAGGGAGGTCAGTCTTTCAATCCACAGGGTGTACTTAGAGTAGCCACTTACACATTACTATAGAAGAGAACATGTATCACTAAAAAGGAGGGCATCAAAAGGATACCGATTTGCATAAGTTTCCACATGCCAATTTATATGCACACATGGAAAATTAGAAGGATTAAAATAATAATAATTTAAATAGCATTACAAGACATCTCTATCTCAGTCAGGAGAACTTGTGACCAGCTGACCTGTGAGCCCGTTGAGTTCGCTATCCAGCTGCTCATTATGGATTGGCAATTTCAAAGCCCCCGATTTCCCTTTACCATACTTTAGTTCTCTATTTTAAGTAGAGTTGGCAATGCATCAAATGGAGGATGACCTCAAAAGAAGGGCTGTCCATCCTAAAAGAGGACAAGTGGCCACTGTTAGGTATATTATTGGGAGATATTTAAAAGCAGCTCAGGCTGGGTGGATCTTCCCTTACTGGTGAACCTGCTTGAACACCATTTGGGACCAGACTGCTCTTTTGCCTTACTTCTGCAGTTCAAAAAATGTGTTTTTTTTTCCTGGTAAGGTAGGGAGAAGTGAGATCCCTGTAGTTTCTTCTTCTGGTTGATGATGTGAATGGAGACAGGTTGATTTCCATATTCTTGTCTTCCCACTGAAGACAACTTCAGTGTTGATACCGAAACAGCAATATCTATGCTGGCTTGGGCATGTTGTGAGAATAGCTGATAGTCGGAATCCAAAAGATCTCCTGTATGGAGAATTAGTGCAGGGGAATCACCCCAGAGGGAGACCGCAGCTGTGATACAAGGATATCTGCAAGCGGGATCTGAAGGCCTTAGGAATGGACCACAACAGATGGAAAACCTTGACATCTGAGTGTTCAGCTTGGAGGCAGGCATCATGGCCTCTCCCAATTTGAAGAGACCCTTGTCCAGCAGGCCAAGGCAAAGAGGCAGTCCTGAAACCAGCAAAATCAGGGAGCTGGACAGGGAACAGATTGCATTTGTCTTCAGTGTGAAAGGGATTGTCACTCTCGAATTGGCCTTCTCAGCCACACTAGATGCTCTTCCAATACCATTATTCAGAGCATATTAACATAGTCTCTTGAGACTTAAGGATGCCTAATCTGTCTTCCCACTGGCTTGACACTGAGAGGCAAGAGATGTAGCCTCCCAGTGACTCTGGGTCTGCATCTCAGAGCTGATGGCAGAACAATTTATTTTTAAAACGGAAATCCTCCTATTGTTGCTTCATGGGTGGTGTCGCTCAACCATACTAAGAAGAAGGACCAACGGCTGTTTCCCCCCTTCTTCCCACTCTTACTTGCCTGGCCCTTGGCTCTGACTCTCCTTTTGGTCCTCTGTCTTGCTTGCTCCCTCTCTCCCTCACACATGCACAGAAACACACACACACACACACACACACACACACACACGTACCTCACTCCTGCCATTCTTTGGAGCAGGAAAATGCAGGTGCAGCAAGATTGGGGATTTATTCCAGGATACCCCAACCCCAGTGCAAAGCACAGTCTCCCTTTTTTCCTGGAGGAGCTAGTAACGTCAGACAATGGGAGGAGTGGCCAGCTTTAGTTGCAGTTTCTGTGGGGACCTACTGTAACGCCACTAACTCTTTCGGGGTGATTTCCTCTTTCTCTGCCTATGAAGAGTTAGGGACACAACATCCTGTGATCCTTCATATGAACCCCAAGAGATTGCAAGACTGTGTTGTTAAAGAAGATTAACTGATAAAGTTTGAAAAATACTAATCTTAAGCAACAGGGTAGAATCTGGGTTTGACTACGCAAAAGCTTTTGATTGTGTGAACCACAGCAAACTATGGGAAGTCCTTAAAGAAATGGGAGTGCCTGACCACCTTCTCCATCTCCTGAGAAATCTCTATGTGGGACAGGAAGCAACAGTTAGAACTAGATATGGAACAACTGATTGGTTCAAAATTGGGAAAGGAGTACGACAAGGCTGTATATTGTTCCCTGGTTTATTTAACTTATATGCGGAATACATCATGCGAAAGGCCGGAATGGAGGAATCCCAAACTGGAATTAATATTGCAGGAAGAAATATCAACAACCTCTGATATGCAGATAATACCACTCTGATGGCAGAAAGTGAGGAGGAATTAATGTAATGAGGGTGAAAGAGGAGAGTGCAAAAAATGGTCTGGGCATGACAGATTTTACATTCTTGGGCTCCATGATCACTGCAGACGGTGATAGCAGCCACGAAATTAAGACACCTGCTTCTTGGGAGGAAAGTGATGACAAACCTAGACATCATCTTTAAAAGCAGAGACATCACCTTGCCGACAAAGGTCCGAATAGTCAAAGCTTTGGTTTTCCTACTAGCAATGTACGGAAGTGAGAGTTGGACCTCAAAGAAGGCTAACCGCCGAAGAATTGATGCTTTTGAATTGTGGTGCTGGAGGAGACCCTTGAGAGTCCCTGGACTGCAAGGAGAACAAACCTATCCATTTTGAAGGAAATCACCCCTGAGTGCTCACTGGAAGGACAGATCCTGAAGCTGAGGCTCCAATACTTTGGCCATCTCATGAGAAGAGAAAACTCCCTGGAAAAGACCCTGATGTTGGGAAAGTGTGAAGGCAAGAGGAGAAGGGGACGTCAGAGGACGAGATGGTTGGACAGTGTCATCGAAGCGACCAGCATGAATTTGACCCAACTCCGGGAGGGCCTGGCGTGCTCTAGTCCATGGGGCCATGAAGAGTAGGACACAACTTAACAACTAAACAACAACAACAGAATCTGGGTTAGATCACTTGTTGCACTTAGGTGCCATCAAGATAAATGGGGCACATTATTAAATATTTAAATTCATGGTTTTCAATAGGTGCTACTTTAGATTAAAAATCTGTACAACTAAAGCTGTATATTTATACTTTTAACGTAGAAAAGAACTGGGTCAAAATGAGAATGAATAACATGCAAGAAATTAAGTGAAGCTAAGGTGAAGTTATTTCTTTAAGGGGAAAATAACCATTATTTTATGAGGATTACATTGCTATAAATCTTCCATTAGCTACTAGATAGGAGTAATCATGTAATTTATGGAGTAAAGCTAATCTTTTTAATTGAAGTGAAGGGGATAGCCAAGGTACTGGCAGTGTATAGCTCATTTATCTCACTACTGTTAACTCTTCCTTCCCACCTGTACTTCTAACATACAGAGCTCTTCCTATCGTTATGAAACATACACTTATGATCATTCTTGCTGTAGGTGAATCAAGTATCCTATTATATATACTGTCATGTTTACAGTTACAGTTTAATAATTAATTACTCTCACAAAAATGAGTGAAGCAATATAGGCAGTATAGTTTTTTAAAGATACAGTAGGTTAACATAAGCTCTTATTTGTATGGATTCATTCATTTTTAAATTGTACCTGACTAATTAATATGGGACAGTGCCAAGGAATACTCTCTTAACTATTTTGCACTCATTCTTAACCATTTTGCACTCATTCTAGATTCACATATGGAAGAAAAGAATTGCTTTCCATAATAAGACTGAAGCAGGCAAATCTTAACATTCAATTGTCTTAAAAGTGCCATTTATTTCTCAGAATATCCATACCTGATTTTTATATGGAAATAGAATTTGGTCCTATCATTTCTTAATTACTTGTAAATGCACCTATGCTTGCTGAACAATAACACATTCTTTGGAGCCCAATCTCTTTCTATTGATGTTTTCAGCAGTGCACGTGGCTCTCTTCCTCACCTCTTTATCCTCACAACATATTTGGGAGGTAGGCCAGGTTGAAAAACAGCGGTAGTCCAGGGTCAACCAAAGAATTTCATGAGTTATGTTGACTTTATGGTGGCTAAATCCCAGTCCTCTGCTATAGCCATTACACCACATTGTATAAAGAAACAGTATTAATGCATACAGGTTCATGCATATAACTAACATAAGAACTACCACACTGAAATATTTTATAATCAAAGTATTTGCACTGTGTTGCATGAGACAAGCTATGCAAAGACATTTGATGCTTTCATACATTATATTCAGTCATGGTTTACTGTTAGCCATGGTTTCCTTCTTTAGTCGTAAACTGTCCCACACCAGTTGTTTCTCAGTTTGTAGCCTGTTTCTCTCCTGCTCCTATTTTCAGCACCTGTTTTAGGTGAGCAACTCTGGAGACAGGTGAGGGATGAGAGATGGTTCTAGTCTGAGGTGTAATAACTTATGTCTTAAACACAACAGAGTTTTCATAAGTCAAAAGGAGGTCATGACATCTCATTATGGTTTGCAACCATTTATTAAACCATGAAGTGGACAGATGTAACAGCCGTGGGATATCATAAATGTTTCCTATCACAGATTGTGTTGCATGAACAATGAGGATTTCCAAAGAAGTCGAAGAAGTGACATGGTGACTGAAATCCTGTTCTGTTGCTATGCCTTCATGCCCTAGAGTTATGCACGTGGTAGGGAACAGAAGTGATATTCACAAAGGACTTCCACAGCATTGTTGTGAAAGAGCCACATCATTAATCAATTGTGCAAGTCAACTGCATGGTGGGAAGTGCCCAGGTGTTATGCCCTGCACAGTTAGGCTAACCTCAATAGTATGTCAGCCACCATGCCATGTACAGAAGTTTTAGAGATCAGAAACTATGTGAGTGGTAGGTACGTGTGGTAGGAGA